AAGCTTTTTATTACTCTCATTACTTATTGTGTGATACTTAACACTTTTATCGCGATGTTATGATTTTAAAAAATTTTAAGATTATTTTTTGTCATCTCTGCATTTATTCATCAATTTTTAAGAACAAAACTCATGGTTAGTCGTAATTATACAGAAAAGAGGTTCACTTGAGCAGAGAAAATATTTTTCTTCCTAATTATTTTCTTGAGCGAAAAAAAATTTTTTTTTGACAAGAAATTTCACTTATTTCAACAAAATAAATTCTCTTGATTTAAGAAATACGTATCTTGATCCAAGAAAATTTATTTAAGTCAAGAAAATCTTGTTTTGAGAAAATTCAGCCTCGAAGCTCCAAAAAATTTAGTTCTTGATAGAAGTAAATTTTCTTGTCTTGAGAAAACTTCTCTCTTGCTCCAAAAAATTAAATATAAAGATAGAAGAAAATTTTCATTAATATTTTTATTGATTAACATGTCAAATGGGAAGGTCAAATAATATTTCATCATTTTTTTTCATTCAATATGTATAATTGTGTGCTAAAATAATCTAAAATGGGTATCAAATATTCAAGAGAAAAATTTTCTCAAGGTGAGAAAATTTTTTTCTCAGCTGAAGTAGGTGGCGCTGCTTCCCTAAAGTATCTAAAAATTTTGAACAAATATAAAAATATATTGTATCAAGTATGTATGATAATTTGAATTAAGAAAAAATGACTTCCACTAAGAATAAAATTTCAAGAAAAATTCTTACTTCGGCCAACACAACTTCGATCTTTTTTCAGGCTCCCGAAAATTTTCTTTAGCCGAGAATTTTGTTCTCCAGTCAAGAAATTCTTCTTTCTGTGTAATAATAATCTACATTAGAACCGGAGGTAATGAAAGCTTATTGAAAGAGCTTTCAAATGCAAATTACAGAAATCAAATGTTATTGCATTTAAAAATTATTCATAACATTAAAGTTAGCAATCGCTTTACAATTTTTTGATTTTTTTTTAACAAATAATTTGCTCCGAAAAATAATTTCTAAAAAATTGGATTTTTTATTTTTTTAATTTTCTCAACGTCAATTTTTTTTTCTCATTTTCTTTGACATAATTTATTTGTTAAAACAATTCTCAAAATTATAAAATATCAACTAAATTAATTTTCCCAACCCAAAAAATTTTTCATGCCCTGATTACAATAACCGACCGACTCAACAAATGACTGTTTCACTGCGTAAAATAACAATAATCACAGAATTATGATCGAATTGGTAGTAATTATAAATTATTACAACAACATTAAAAGGTTTGTTAAATACGGATTCACATTAACAGAACCGAATAACATATAAACAATGGCATACCCGCGATAATTATAATTACAAAGCTTGTGTAGACTAGATGACGCGTGTATAATAGAAATGCCTGAACATTGCTCTCTACGTCGACGTATAAAGAGATGCCACAGACAATAACAGATACACACACGCATACATAGATAGAGAGAGTTTAAACAAGGCCAGGAGAGAGGGTGATTGTATCTCGATGGCAAACACCTGAAAGTCGATCAAACGTCGCCCGAGGACAGCCTCGATTGCACCCTCAATATATTCAGTCTTCCCTTCATCACGTAAATTTACCAATTTGATAACAATCTTGACAAACATATACCCATTTACGCACGTTAAATAATCGATGAATTAATGACCGCCGCTAACCCGCGGCTAGATAATTTGTAGTTAAATGCAGACTCCTATAATTAAAAAATGCACCATTCGGCCACATGTGATAGAGAAAGATAGATTTATCAATTTCAGCGCATACTAATAGTTAAAATATTTTGTACTACCTTTAGAAAATTTATGAAATTTATAAATTTAAGAGTGATTGTACATTTAATTACAAAATTATTAAATATCGATTTATATAGTAGGGGAGGAGGGGGCAAAATGGGCCCCTAGGGGCAAAATGGGCCCCCTAAAATTTTCAATATCCAAAAATATTTAGGGGCAAAATGGGCCCCCAACATTTTCAGCTCTCGAAGTGTTTGGAAGGTATAATGGCGATGTGTGTGTGTGTGTGCATGCGTGTGTGTGTGTGTGTGCATGCGTGTCTGTGCGTGCGCGTGTGTGTGAGTGTGTGTGTGTGTGTGTGTGTGTGTGTGGGTATGTGAGTGTGTGCGTGCGTGTGTGTGTGTGTGAGTTTGTCTGATGTGTGTGTTTCGTGCATGAACGTAAACCTCTCATAACTTTTAAACGGCTCGACCGATTCAAACGGGAT